GTATACACATATCTGGCCTGTCCATAGGACACGCAGTACTCGGGAACTTTTCACACAGCTGTTTCTTAACTTGGATCAGATACCGCAAAACTGGTGAGATTGGACGGAACCACACAAGTCGGAAGCACCATAACACACGCCATTACACCATAAATGTGTCAACCGAGGCACATCCATTTGAACTCCTGTATGAACTCAAACGGTTCGAATAGCTTGGTAGCAAACACCAAGATGATTGTGAAAACTGTAGACATATCACTTCCGATAGTGATAGCGTCCCAAGAGTAGTGACAAAATAAAATTTATCTGCTTACAAACGGACAGTCAGANAAACAGACAGACAGACAGACAGACAGACAGACAGACAGACAGACAGACAGACAGACAGACAGACAGACAGACAGACAGACAGACAGATGTGATTTTCATTTCATAGCAGATAAAACTCCTTTTGTGACCTCACTTCAATCAACATCATGAAACCTCCGAATGTTCCGTGATCTAAGTCGTCCTGATACAGATAAGTCCATACTGCTTAGTACTCGAATTATTCACACACGGGATAGATACAGGGGAAGAATATATCTGTGTGTGACCAGCTTCTGGCACTGCCTTGTCTGACAGAGAAGAGCGAATGCAAAACAGTGTCACAGTATAGTAAATAAATACAAATAACATCTGAGAAAAATCATCAATCAGGCTAATCTGCAAGCACACGTACACACGAAATAACATAGCTATCAACTAAATGCGAGCGGATGGATGGGCAAGGGTGAACACAGACCTGGATACCTCAGGCTTCCCCTCTCAGTTCAACTCTTCGGTTTGCGTGTGTGATAATTTTGCAGTTGTCCGAACTGATCTGCCTCCTCCCTCTTTCTCTCTGTCTCCCCGAAGCTCAGGGGTTACGAACGCGTGGATGATTGATGCACATGTTGTGTGTGACAGCTTTGACACGTTGTGACAGTTTGTTACTCGGGTTGATTAATGACAGGGACTTGCATTTTGAACCGGAGATCTGCTTCCCCGGTGGTACGAAACTGAATGTTGTTTGGTCATGCCCAGATATATTGTAATAGACAGGAGAGAGGCTGGTGATAGTGGAGGTGGAGGATCAAGTGTAGTCGAGTCACCAAGAGGGAAAATTCGAATCGTAATTCCGGGAGATCGTGGACATATTGTGTTTGGAGAGAGTTGGCTATGCTCCTGTAAGGAGACGGACATTTTGCCTTAATCTGGCTCATTTAGCTTCGTATGTCGATTCAGAGGCCTGTCAACAATGCACGATGCCATAGGAACAACATAGAGAGTTGTATTGGGTATTTCGCCACTACCTCTTTCTGATGGTGGGAGGGGGGTTCAACAAAACAGGAGCAATGTGAGAGAGGGGTGATGGTGGTTCTACTACTACTGCTTGGGGTGAATCAAACTTTTCAGCACTATAAAACTGTTCCCCTACAGTACTCCTAGTTGGAGCTGTATGCAGCATATTCAGAGGGTGACAATGATAGACAAAAATAGGACAGGGAGTGAGGAAGACATCACACAAACACACAATGCACGTCAAGACACAGCAGCATCGAATCGATCATTCTTCTCAGAACACTCATTNTCATTCTGTCGAATTCTTAAACGGCATGGATTCAGAATTCTCCCATCGACATCTGACATTGACCAGGTTTTGTCGTCAAACCAGAGGACAAAGTTTTCAAGTCAACCGAATGATGGTTGAGTGTTTTGTAGAGTGAAAATGATATATATATATATATATATATAAGACACAACGCAGATGAATAACAGATTAGTAGACTGAAGAATGATCTTGTTTCTGCTGTTCTTTTTCGTCCTTTGATTTTCACCCAGAATAACGTGATACAGAGATCATATTCACTCAGAAGGGTAGTGCGCCAATTTATTAATTACTACAGAGAACATTATGCCCCTGTAAGATAGTACGTGGCACATCTCAGTCCACATGGTCTATTACCCGTCTGACATTTGGTTTACTCACTCGATTTAACAATAACAAACTTTTACCATTTTTGATAATGGATATCTTGTTGCATGGGGAAAACAGAGTGTAAACATTTGCTCTGATTAGTGGTTATGCCCTACTCATCAGCAACGGTCAAACCTCTTCAGTGTCCCGATGTTGCTACAGGTGCTACAATAAATTCACAAATAAATTTATGATGGTAAATTAGTACTGTTTTCATATATTATTGTGAGGCAATTTGTGGGAACATCAGTGGCCTGGATAAATGAATCATTTATGATTATAATTCTCGGTGATGTGTCAAAAACGAAACTTCACAAAGTGCAAAACCATAATCATAAAGTCGGAGTGCAAGTCGTTTTCATTCAGATGCGGGTAGATGTTTTATGCTGTTCACGTCTGTCTGTCTGTCTATCTGCCTGCCTGCAGAGCGGTATAAGCGCTCGTGTATCTAACGTCACGACCCACGTTTTGTGGTAGGTGACTGAAACCAGTACAGTCGGATAGTAGTTCTGTTATTATCTGAGGACGGCAGCGAGACAAAATGGTGGTAACATGCAATGACATGATAGGTGAGGAATAGCATCCAACCACACATTCAGCTGTCTGAGTCTTCACCTGTTGGATATTGCTTTGACCGAAGACGTCCGCAACAGTGATGGAACTGTCGCCCGCACGTTTGTTCGTTCTGATCCATCACCTAACCTAAGTGACAATGAGTGACACTATGTAAACCGCGTTCGTATATGCCACGCAAGCACCAAAGAGGAATTGAGAGGTCCAAACTTTAAGTATGTGTTAGTGTGTGTGTGTGTGTGTGTGTGTGTGTGNGTGATCCTTGGGTGTCATGCTACGACAATGGTAGTAGAACTGACCCACAGTCAAGCACGGGGGTGGGACAAAACGGATCGATTGCCGTTCAGGTACCGGCACACGGACACAATACCGATTTCGTTGTTTCAGTTTTTTTTTCAAATTTCGGCCCGATTATTCACAGTGGGAAGGAGATGTCGGTAGTGTGCCGACACGGTGTGTGTGTGTATATATACTTCGTGTCATTCAGTCGTAAAATTATCAACATAATAGATGACAAGGTGTGGATGTGAGGACGATAAAGCGAATGCGCGCGCGCGTGAGGAAACGAGTACAGTCTCTTGAGGATTGAGTTTTGTGGATGTTTTGGTACACTATGATCAAAATGTCGCACAGACGCGCTCACAAACACACACGCAGATGCATAAAGGTGACGATGCGGGAAGTGACAAGTGGCATATTTCATCTACAGACCGATCAGATGTCACTAGTGCACTACCGACTGGAAGAATTTGACGCAGATCGGGAGAAAAACAGTATGAAAATACGTATTTGCTCAAGCTCGATAAAATTTTCCAGGCGAGAATCCTCAT